CACAGGGGGTCATCAGCTAAGCCTGTGCAGTGAATGGGGGCGTACATAGAAGATGAGCAGACGAAGGGATTGTCAGGGGTTGGAGGGAGAGGAGACTTGGCTGTGAGTGGCAGGAAAAGAGATCTCATTGGGGGCCATGAACAAGTGATGGATATGAAGTCCGATGGTAGAGAAAGTGACCCGGCAGCCGCAGAGGAGTTCCTGAGTCTCGGGGTTCAGTGTGCACAAGGAAGGGGGGGAGGGGGGGTCTGCAGAGATCCTTTTCTCAGTCAGGTGCTGTTAGATCTTCTTGCAGTCCCGATTATTCTGCTTCACTACTGTGAGCAACTGACGCATGTCCTGAGTCACAGGGAGGGGGCGGACCCTGGAGTTAACCCTTTCTCATCCGGGTGAAACTGGCTCTATGGAAGCTGCATGCACCACCCAGGATGAAGCAGCAGTGGCTGACACCCCTTGTACCATAGGGAGGCTGGTCTATGAGAATCGGTGGGTCTTGTGGGAGGTCATACAGACAGGAAGTGTACCTTCTGCTTTTATAAACATTTCAGAGGCAAATAGTGGGGAGGGGAAGACAATTAAAGAGCAGCACCAGGGGCAGAAGCAGGTGGGGCAGAAGTTCTCCTTTAAAGCCCCTCAAATGGCGTTCCTTCAGAACTTCCTCTCCCCTCCTCCATACAATTCATGGAACTTCCTGTCCCCTCCTCCATACAATTCATAGAACTTCCTCTCCCCTCCTCCATACAATTCATAGAACTTCCTGTCCCCTCCTCCATACAATTCATAGACCTTCCTGTCCCCTCCTCCATACAATTCATAGAACTTCCTCTCCCCTCCTCCATACAATTCATGGAACTTCCTCTCCCCTCCTCCATACAATTCATAGAACTTCCTGTCCCCTCCTCCATACAATTCATAGACCTTCCTGTCCCCTCCTCCATACAATTCATAGACCTTCCTGTCCCCTCCTCCATACAATTCATAGAACTTCCTGTCCCCTCCTCCATACAATTCATAGAACTTCCTCTCCCCTCCTCCATACAATTCATAGAACTTCCTCTCCCCTCCTCCATACAATTCATAGAACTTCCTGTCCCCTCCTCTATACAATTCATAGCACTTCCTGTCTCTGGTTAGGAACTTGTTGTTTGTGATTGGCATTGAATACAACGAATGAAGATCCCGATATTGGGCGTCAGTTTTACGTTCCTTCTTCTCCTTCTCTTGAAGCCCCGTTCAGTTGGACGACTTTGACTCTTACATGGCGGAGATGTCGCGGGATTCCGACTATAAGTTTTCTCTGCAGTTTGAGGTGAGTTCTATCGATGATACTTCGTAGAGGAGGAGGACATTGAGTGCTTGTCATGGTTCTGGTCAGATGTCCGTCTCATGGTGCGAGTTCTGTATGTTCAGGACGAGACGGGTCGGCTAATACTCAGATCCGAGAACAAGGCCGGCACTCCCAAACAGCGAGAGGTCCCCCCTCAGTACAGAGGAGTCACACCAACCTTCTAGAGCAGTGGTTCTCAACCTGTGGGTCGCGACCTACAGTTGAGGGGTCCCCAGATGCCTTGTGTTGCTCTAGGTAAGAGGCTCCTCAGCCTCCTCCTAGCGCAGCAGTGTCAGTTCCCCTAGATGGCGCTGCAGCAGCCGGAGAGGATCAGAGAGAGGGGAGCAGGCAGGAGTGAGGGGAGGCGAGTGCTTGATCACCACAGAGCCTGCACTGGATGCCACCTGAGAGCCCCACTAGCCACCTGAGAGCCCGCATTGCCTTCCGAGAGCCCACACAGATACTAGTATTGGTGCATCACTACATTTTACGGTTGGGGGGGTCACCACAACTTGGCAAGTGTTACCGAGGGGGTCCCGGCCCTAGAAAGGTTGAGAACCACTGTTCTAGAGGACATGACGTGACATTGGGGGTCACTGGGGTCACTGGTCTGGAATGAAGCCTCTAGACTCTCCTTTCATCATTCTGGGTTAGGGTTGAACGGTGTAGAGCCTTGGTTCAATGACCAAGGACAAGTGTGGCCCCTGAGGTGACGCAGGTTGGGAACCGCTGCTGTAGACCATCTTTTTGTGTTGTGTGCGTCATCGGGCCCCTAACATTCTCCCTCTTCTACAGGAACTGAAAATGATTGGTCTGGATATCGAGCATTGCGCCGCAGAACTGGCGGCCAACCGTTGCAAGAACCGCTACACAAACATATTGCCGTGTAAGTCCTTCCAGTCCCAGCCGGCCCTTATATTGTGCGGGGGCTGCAGGAATTTTAGGTACGAGGGCCCTTATGGCCAGGGGCCCGAATGGTCAGTCCACCCCTGGTGTGGGCTCAATGATGAGAATAAGTTCCGATCGGTTCCACCAGGAAGGACCACAGCAGAAGACACACAGCAACCAATCAGAAGCCACCTTCCCCGTATATAACTAACATCCTCTGACATGCTGAGGGGCCACGAGGGGCCCCTGTGTTTTGTTTCCAGTCTCTGTGTTTTATTTGTATTATTCTGTAGAAGAACTTCCCCCTCTAAAGACCGAGGGCCCTTTCCCCACCCCCAATGTGACATCACTGGGCCCCTTAGGAGCCGTCATGTGGGAGAATGGGGGAGGAGTCCTATGCGGAGGATGGGCAGCTTCTCTCCCTCAATTCTGTGCTGAAGACAATTTCTTTCTTTTCCATTTCAGATGATTTCAGCCGAGTGAAGCTGATCACCAGAGAGGACGAGGAGGAGGGGGAGGGGGAGGAGGGAGCCGATTACATCAACGCAAACTTTATTCCTGTGAGTTCATCAGAACAAAACGAACATTGAATGCTCCGGAGTTCCCATTGGGTTAGAATCTGTGGCAGGCATTGGGGGGATCATATGGGGGGCATTGGGGAGATCATATGGGGCATTGGGGAGATCATATGGGGCATTGGGGATCATATGGGGCATTGGGGATCATATGGGGCATTGGGG